GAAGTAAATTATTTAAAACCTCAGAGTGTCATCTGGATGAGACATAGAATTCTTTACTGGAGCCCAGGTCGGAAGCAACTTCTGTTCCAGTTGATGAACACTGTGGACGTGCTTCCAGCCAGCCAGCATTCCACACAATTTCCAAATCAAAGGGTGACGCATGGCCAAGCGGTGCCCTAGGAAAGTGCTGATACGGGCTTTGTTCCTGGCAAATCTGGCAGCCAGAACTCGCCTAATGTGTCTGTTCCCCCAGGTGGGCACTTTTTCCATTTCCTACAGAAATAAAGACTCGATTAAGAAATTTGTTTCATTGGTATCTGCAAAGAGAGAATAGCTGGTTATTTGAAGCAGTTCTAGCACTTGCTAGACAACAAAGAAAACAAGTGTGGGATGATATGTGTGTAGTAGTGAATACACTAATCTCCAAATACTGTAGTATTCCTGGCCTGGGATAGTTATGTATGTTGATTAAGATCCTTCTGACGTGGAAGCAACACAAGAAAGTGAATCATACAGCTCCTGCTGTGTCTGACAATGGAGTTATGTTCTTGAAATCTGGCTGCTTTCCTGCAACTTCCGTTCCTCTCTGACTCAAAGACAACCTTCTGTTGGGTTAGCTTTCTGTATCAAAGCCTCAGAGTCCCAATGGTCTCATGCCACCCCGCCTTCAATGTTTAAACAGACTAGATTCAGTCCTTAATGTGTTGTTCTATCTAGAATGTGCCAAGGCAGAGTAGTTCACAGAAATCAATTTATAGCAAAGTTATTACATTCTTTCTAGATCAGTGATTGTATCCTATTACCTATATCACATCTTCTTCTCATTTAAGTAGAAAGCATTATTTAAATTGTCTTTAAGCAGTAGACATGTCCCTGGGCTAGCTCTCGTTTCCTCTCTCAGTATGTCTTTAGTCCTTTAATGACTATTTCTTGTAGCATATCCAAAGGAAATTAGGCTAAGATGATATGCTGAGCAAGCCACATATCTTCACTATAAAGCAACCACTGTTGGTCATCAACGTGACTCACCCAAGCTACCACCACCACACCCAAGCCACACACTGCAGTGCAGACTGTGGGTGTTGCAAAGTATGCTCAATGTCCCTTCTCTTTGGTGCTTTAAAAGTTTAAATCTTTCTTGTTGCAGATCACTTCAGGGTGAAGTTATTTATTTGATTTTAAAAGACCTTGGTACAGGGTCTCACTGCACAGCTCAGGCTCATAGTGATCTTCCTGCTTTCAGCCTCCCCAGGGCTGGGATTACAGATGTGCACCACCATGCCAGGTCTCCATGACCGGCTTAGCTTGTCCAGGAGGAACGGCATGTGGTGCCAGGGATCGAACCCAGGTCCCTGTGCTTGCCTATGCAGGCACTTTATCCGCTGAGCTACCTCACTGGCCCTCAGGCTGCATATTTAAATGTTTGAGTTTGTTTCACTTCTTTTCCCTCCCTGCATTTCTTTTTAGTATCAAACTATCACCTGAGGACAAGGTGCCTGTGCCAACAGGCTCCTGAAATTGCTTGCAAGCCAGAGTCCCTTGTATATATACAGAGAGAAAAAAGTCTCTCAAAATAATTGTTGAAAATCCTTTGGACTCATGAACTTTTTTTTTTTTTTTTTAATTTCTTTTACTCAATCTATAAGAATCCACTGATTTCCAAAGAACCGTGTTAAAAGTGTTCACCAGGGAGGATCCAAAACAGCAGCTCTCCCCTCAGTTTCTCTTTCTCTGAGTAAAGTCCCACAGCTTCAACTCTATCCATCTCCTCCCCGACCCACCATTGATAGAACTGAGGCCGGCTTGACTTGAACCAACCAAGACAGATTTGTTTCCCTGATTGAGGGGGTGGAGTCTCATAGACAAATTATGATGGAGACAGAGAGAAAAGCTTTCTCAGTAGCAAAAACTGACACAGAGGGTGTAGACCTGGGCTTCCCTGTGGATGGGAATTGGTAACGAGAAAGTTGCCTCCAGAGGAAGGAAAAGCAGGCTTGCAGGGGGGTAGGGATGACACGCGGAGGAGGGCTGAGCTTCCTTGTAGTCCTTGGCGACGAGCCCTACTGACACGGGTTGCATTCTTGAGTTTTCAGTTTAGGGAAGTGCTCTACATTCTTAAACATAATACTCTTCCTTTATTTTTGTTTTAACTAGCACAAGCTAGTTTTGCTCATACGAAATAACCAAAGAAGTCAGAACAAATTCAGAGCATAAGCATGGGATATGCACATTGCGCTGGAGTAAACATCTCTGATCTTTCGATCTTTTCTCTCCCACAGTGGTCCTCAGTAAAAATAACATTTTACCTTGCAACCAGTACAATAAACTTGAAATAATACTTGTCTTTATCACCTATGACCAAGTAAAGACATGATGAATATTGTGAAATAACTTTTATTAAGGTGTAAAAACAAAATAGAAACAAATCTAAAATAAAAACAGTAAACTTTACAAATGATGCCTACCTTCTCCATAGAATACCTCTCCACCTCCTCCTCTTCCTCCTCCTCTTCCTGCTCCCCCTCCTCTTCTTCCTCCTCCTCTTCCTCTTCCTCCTCTTGCTCCTCTTTCTCTTCCTCCTGCTCCTCCTCCTCCTCTTCTTCTTCCTCCTCCTCCTCCTGTTCTTCTTCCTCCTCCTCCTGCTCCTCCTCCTCCCCCTGATCTCACCACTGGGCCAGGAACAACCCAAGCTCCTTTCCATTTTGCTGCTATTTTCCTGGTTGCAGTCCTCCCTGGAGAATCTCAGCCCTTAGCTGATTATCTAAGTCCTGAACACTGCTCTGGGCCCAGCATAAGCTTGCTCACCATGAGACCTCACCAACCAGTGTGCCACACGTTGTCCTTCCTGTCCTGATACCCCCAGGCCTTGCAGCATTTCTGCTTTACGTGCATTGACAGCAGAAGGTTCGAAATCCTACATCAGAAGAAGACTGAGTTTACAAAATTGCATGTCTTTATAGAAAGAGATGAATTGTGTGTTAGCATTTGGAGCAATTCCTTTTTAGTTTATTTTCCTATTTTACGTTTATTTAATTATTTCTACAACAAAGACATAGTGTGCTGTGCTGGCCCCGCCCCCAGAACATGCTGAGATGGCAATTGAGACTGGGCATGGTGGCGCGCGCCTGTGATCCCAGCTCTTGGGAGGCTGTAAGCAGGTGGATCACTATGAGTCTGATCTAGTAGTGAGACCCCAAACACCCTGTAGACCCTTCCCTAAGATACAAAACACACACACACACACACACACACACACACGCACACACACAAAGATATAGTGTATAATAGGAATAATGAAATAAAAAGCCTAATCTTTCGGATCTGGCTTTGAAGGACATTCGTAACTTAAGCCCCAGCCCCTAATTTAGCACCCACATGTAGTTCTGCTGTTCTCTGCTCATTAATTGCAGTTTTCACTTGCAAACACATTGCAATACCCTTCCTGAACATTGTAGTAGTACGAGTCCACAGCTCATGGTGATTGCAACGTTCTTGGCAGCTCGAATTCTATTGATGACATTTGAGTGCAGTTAAGTACAAGCTCGTGCCACCTTTCCAGAAGGTATCTGTGGACCATGTCACTGCCTTCAAACTACTGAAAGCTCTGTAAGAGCACTGAATCTCAGATTAAAATATGAAATGAAGAAAAATGAGTGGCCTGTTTTTGAATATAAGGTGATAATTGTGAAATCTACACACATGGCTTTCTTTGTTCACAAAGAACAACACAGTTGTTATTGTTTTTTTTTTAATTTAATGATTTATTTATTTATTTTTTTATTTGGTATAGGGTCTTGCTATGCAACTCAGACTCATAGTGATCCTCCTGTCTCAGCCTCCCCAGTGCTGGGATTTCAGAAGTGCACCACTATGCCCTGTTTCAGTGGCTGGCGCAGAATGCCTTTCCGAGGCCAGAATAGCACGCAGTACCAATGATTGAACCCAGGTCCTTGCGCCCGCTCGGCAGGTGTGTAGGCCACTGAGCTAACTCCCTTTCCCAGTTCGGTTTTCTTAAGGAAAAGATACAGAGAGAAAAATGTAAAATACAGAAGTTGAAAGCACATTAAGAAATACTTTGAACAAGAAAATGATTTTTAAAAGGAGAAATATAAGAAAAGAAAAAAGGAAAAGAGGGAAGAAAAAAGGATGATGAAATGATAGAAAGTTAATAAATAAGAAATATAAATTAACTATGGAGGAATAAAGTAGGGTTTTTAAGGGGAAACCATAAAAGACTAAATCTACCACAAGAAAAAGAATGAGAGTGTTGTGTAAGGCTAGTGGTTAGTGGTTCATTTACTTTTGCCTTTCACTTCTTTGAATATTTACTTATTTATTTGTATTTTAGGGAAGGGTCTACAGGGTGTTCAGGGTCTCACTACTAAATCGAACTCATAGTGATACACCTGCACACTAGTCTCAATTGCCATCTCAGTGCACCCCTAGGAGCGGGGCCAGTAGGCCCGGGGACTGAACCCCAGTCCCTGCACCTGTTCTTTGAATATTTAAAGATAGGTATTTGGGTTCCTCAATTTCCCCTTGCCCCTACCTCTAGAAAAGTTAAACTCAAATATCCCTTAGTTCTAAAAATATTAGGTGAAAACATAAAGACCAGAGGGGAAATAAGGCAAAGTGTTTTTAAATAACATTTTTTGCATACTCAGGCTAGGACTTTGTGTTTGATGGGTCCTCTGAGGTTTTGTCAGCGCGCCTGTTTTGCAGAGCAGAGGACTGCTGCAGGAGACAAGCAGTTGGCCAACAGCTGGAGGTGGCAGACCAGTCCCCAGTGCTAGGTGAACCACCTGAACGTCATCACCAACTTACTGCCCTTACCCTACAAGCAGTGCCTCCATTGTTCCCTTTGGCCAGCCTCTTTCTCCATAATGTTGATATAGGTGCTGTTTTTTCCCTTCTACACACTCACACACCCATGCCCCCACCACTGCCCATCCTGCACTCAGCAAACAGAAGCAGGCAGTGGCTTTCGGGAAGGAGTTTGCATGGTCATCGGAAAAACGCCCATTGGCATCACCGCAGCCCGGGGCTGCCCCAAGGTGGGGGGTCTGGACTGGTTGGTCAACAACTTATTCAGATTCAGGACCTCCTAGAAAGTCTGACTGCACCATGGAGACAGAAAAACCATGGCCCCAAGTGTACACGATGGGTGTCCCTGGCCCAGGAAAGCATTTCCTAGGCAATCATGAACTGCAGGCACACTGCCACCGATGCGGACAATCCTGAGCAAGGGGAAGTGGAACTCAAGGGAGCATCTGGGTGTGTTGTCAGATGCTCCTCCAGCCCTGAATTGGAGCCAAACTAGCTCCTCACAAGGCGCAAAAGGCAGGCTCAGTTCTTGTCTATCTGCGCCTTCCAATCCTGCTCAGGGCCAGCAGCATCAAGGCAGGGTGTGCCCTGCTCCAAATACGCAATGGCCACCCTGTTGCCACCATTTCCGTCACTGGTTTTTGTTTCTGGGATCATGCAGTCATTGCACCATCTTCCATACTGCTTCCTTTTAACACAGGCAAGGAGACACGTGTGCACACAGCGCCTGTCAAGGGGAAGCTTCGTGCAACAGCCATTGCAATCCTTGTGTAGGCTGGAGTGAATGCGGCAGGACAGGCACCTCCATGAAGCAGGACACTTGAGTGCAGGCTTCTCAGAGGAGTCACCTAACCACAGGGCTTCCTCTTTCGGTATTCCAGCAGCTGATTGTATCTGCAGTGAAATTTATCAGTAGGTCCTGTGGATTACTCAGCTTTTCTGTTTTATGTCCCCCTCCAGGGCCTAAGTTGAGCACTATTTAGTAAAGAGGCTAAAATAAAATTCCATCAATTATCTTTCCTTAAAAACATCCCTGCGACCCATTGATTCTATATTTCCTTCTAAAGTGGGCTCTTCTTACAACATGAATATTGTAATTAGACTGAATGTGAGAAGCATTTATAATTATCATACAAAGCAAAGGTAAATATTACCAGAGTTGAAAGAGTCTGAGGGTTGTCTAGAGGTTAGACCTCGCCTGCCCTAAATCATCTGCCTTCTTAGAACCATGCTGGATGGTCACTTTATGACACCTCAGGTGGCCATTGCAGGCACAATTCTGTACTGGCAAAGGACATGGGCTTTGAACTCAGTTAAATATCGTTTGACCTACAGCTCTGGAACTTACCTGTGAGCTATTAAGCAACTTGCTAAAGCTCTTGGAGGCTTAAGAGTCTTTATCTGTAAAATAAACACTAATACATGCCTTGGAGAGGCATTATTCTTTTCAACCATATCACAGGAAAATTGTGGTTTAATACACTGAACTTGTTTTATCTCTTTACTACCATGAAACTCCACTAAAGGGAGACAAAATAAATTTGAACAAAAAGAAAGTTATAAATCACAAGGATAAAAAAGAAAAGCACATAGGAAATAATTGCAGATGTGAACTATGGATGCATTCATTCATGGTTCTTCCTTTCTCTCTCTCTCTCTCTCTCTCTCTCTCTCTCTCTCTCTCTCTCTCTCTCTGCACTGGGAATTGAACTCAGGACCTTGTCTTTACCAGACAGGCACTGTGCTGCTGAGCTATACCACCAGTCCTACAGACACATTCTTGTAAAGTGGAAATTGAGTTGTATAGAATGTAGAGAGCTCCAACTTGAGAGAGGTCCTGACAGAAGCAAGCCAGGCCAAGTGCCATCACAAAGCTTGGACTCTGAGATGGCCATAAATTCAGAAGAGGAGAAATGGTGAATGATCATTACAGGCCAAAGATACTTTCTTCCATTCCACTCAGAAAGGCAATTACTTCTTCCCAACCTAAAGGGGTCCAAGGTTCACACACACAAAAAGCACAGTAGAGAAACCATACAAAAATTAGATGATTAACTCAGTATATGTGTCCAACCAATCGAAGCTCTGAAAAGAGAAAACAGAAAAGGCAGAGATGATAAAATCAAGTTATTAATAATAATAATAATAATAAAATACCCATGCACACGCTCTTAGGCACATCACTGGTTTTCTGACTCAGGGAAAAATGTACCAGAGGCCTCAGGGACATCATCCTCACAGAATAGTCTAGAAACCAAAGTTCTCCTCATGGTGGGATTTTATCAAACTAGTGCTTTGTTTTTGGAGTACCCAGGGCACTATATTTCTTTTCTGATTTTAGATATTTGAGATGAAGAGAATTTGTAAAAAAAAAAAAAAAAAGCTTGTCCATAAGATGACTATTCTTACCATGGAACTTCATTTTGAACAAAAAATCACTCTCAGTATTTTGGTGTATAATCATATGCAGAAAAAAATGGCTTTGGAACCTGGAGTGGATGTAACTAACCAACACAATATACAGAAGCCCACCGAGGACCACTGGTGCTACAGCTGTGCAGAAGAGAGCTGCAGGAGGGGTGGCTTTATTTTTCCTCACATTGAGAGGAGGAAGAAGGTGCAGTGGGAAGGGAACAGGAATGTAGGAGGAGGAAACTGCACTAGGGCAGGCAGTGGGGCGGTGGGCATGCATGGAAGCCAGGGGCTGGAAGGTTGCCCAGGGCGGGCATCGCAGGTCTGGGGGGCCTGGGTGCGGGATCCAGCTGACCCTCTCCTGTTGGTCCCCGGCAGCCATGGGCTGCAAGCAATGGAGAGGGGTGATTCTCCAGTGATAAAGCAATCTGAAAGCCTGCTTTGGCAATGCTTAGTCTATTTCAGTTTCTTGGTGTTATATAGCACCAGGGAGTGTAACAGATATGTTAAGCCAACCTAATCCTCTTCTGCCCTAACAGAGACCTTGCCCTAGCTCCTGGGAGTGCCAGCAGTAGGCAGGCCTCACCTGCCAGCCTGCACTGGGGTTGCCACAGATTCAGCGTGAACTTCCTCCCTAGGACCAAGCTGCTTCTTCCCCAACCATATCAAATAATTACTTTGCACAAGCGTGAGAAGGCCCTGCCCTCCCTCTAGCCCCGGGCAACTCTGCAGTACCATCTTACCTTGACTTCCTGAAAAGTTGAAGGAGGGACCCGTGCCCCTCGTGCCCCTCTTCCCAGCTCAGCTCCTCCCCTCCCCTCCCCCTTCCTTCACTCCCCAAGAGCAGTCCTGAACAGGAGATATGATCTCAGTCCTCTTTGGTCCACAGACAAGAAGCAGGAACTTTTGCCATGCCAAAGAATGGGGCGTGAAGGTATTTTACAGGTTTTTTACTAGATGGAGGGAAGTGAGACATCTATTATGAGTAATAAATCCCGAGGACCTACCTATACATATGTATGAGTCAAATTCTTACTCAATACCAATGCAAATAAAGCCATTTCAAATGCTGTGTATTCTCTATTGTCTTTGTCTTGTGTCTAGCCATCCTTACACCTCATTTATTTTTCCTCTCCTGACTGATAGATTATGGCTCTAGTATGAATTGCAGGATTATTCTGATGGTCATCTAAAGTGGCTGAAGCCCTTAAAACAACAGCTCATCTTCCCAGAGACCACCTCCTGCTTCTCCAGCTCAGCCCAGGGTGCACTCTCCTTTCACCTTTCCCGCCACCTCAGGGAAGGCCCCACCTTTCCCATCAGCTCCTCAGGTATATCTAAACATCCCCCTCAAGCCCCACCCCTGGCAACAGGCCATAAAAGCCTCAGCCTCCCTTTGCTCTGATCCAGAGAATTCCTTATCTTCCCAAACTCTCCCTCTGTCCTCTAAGATAATAAAGCCCCTTTCTCTTTTTCCTTCTGCCTGTTTCTCTGCTGCGACACAGACACCATCGAAAACCTATCACTGGGGCTGGAGAGATGGCTCAGTGGTCTAAGGCACCTACTTAGAACAAGCTTGGCAAAGCATCAGGGACCGCGGTTCAATCCCCCAGCACC